AGAAATGAATAATTTTGATGAATATCTATAGTATATTAGTAGGGATTTTACACAGCCCTATCTGTGCATAAACGTCTAATATGGTGCAAATCTCTACTTACGACTTAAAACACTAAGTATAACATAGTTCTATTTGTAACTATAATGCCCGTTACAAAATCGATTTTATTCTTCTTAGAGTATCTATGTGGTCCCAAAAAAAACTAGATTAGGGTTACAGGGAATAATAATGCATTAGTTTAAAAACTGTCGAAAATCCATTACTCTCTTTATTAAGTTCGTCCCTAACCTAACTTTGTTTTCTGTACTTTTATTTTTTCTACCAGCTATAGGACTTCAAGCTCCTCTAAGTTCTATGAAAGGAGTTTCAAATCTTTGCTTAAAGTGCGTCATCAGTTAGTTCTCCGTTTGAGTTTTCCCTCCGTTTGTGGATCCTCAAGCATTGCTTACTTATATGAATGAAGGCCCACTTTCCGTTTGTATTAAATAGATTGCAAAACTGTTTTTCGATCTCACTACTTTCGGCTGCCATATTTTTTCAATTCTTTCATTCCAGCAACTTGTTAGCAATGACATCAAGATGGTTCGTCTTATAATTATTTCCCGTTTTTTGTGATAGTGTGGCACGCGAAAAAAAAGATATACAAATTGAATGCCATAATGTCAAAAAAAAGCAGAAAACTAAGTAAATGAATAAAAATTGTTTCGCTTATGTAACAATTCAAAAAGAATAGAAATTTCGATTAATAATGAGAAAAATTACTCAAAATGCTGTATATCCGAGATTCGGTCTAAGACGACAACAGCTTCAGTTTACTTATTTTATTTGGCAATTAATATAAATAACATATGAATTCTATTTTTACTTGTAAACACTCATCTGTTTATAGTTATGAAAAAAAGGAAGAAAAAAAAAAAAAAACGTAAAGAAATCTAACAAAATAAAGAAAGAAGAAAAAAAAAAGGGGGAAAAACAACACATAGAAGGCTAAAAATAATTTACATACGTCGACTACACATATACGAACAGTTGGACGAACCAACTTTCTGTTAATTATTATTTGCTCTTAATGGTTTTGGTCACAATTTGTAGCCACTTGTAAGGAATTTTGTAACGAAAAATGTTTTGTTAATTACATTAAGATAAATTTAAATTATTTTCATTATAACTCATTTTTATTTCTGTTCATATTATAATTAAGGAAACGAACACTCAGATTACATAAAACTGTTTATTGCAATGAATTTTGTTTAGAAAATTAAATCGTTTTTGTTTTCTTTTGCCAGCAACGGAGCGCGTAAACTTTTGACCAACGTAAGATCTTTTTTGATTTAGGACTGCTTATCTAACTTAGCGTCTCTTATTTGTCGGCTTTAAATAATTTTAATATAATAATAATAATAATAAGAATCATTGCGTTTATAGAGATATCGTTTCGCTATCACTTACCGCCGAACCACAGAAGTTTCATTGACGATAATAATCACGTGGGTGTGCATGGGTGTATGGGTTTTGTGATTATCTGTATTTTATACGTCTGGTGGTCCGGTCTGGAAAGCAAGTCATACATGGACATAAGGACACGTAATTGCTTTACGTCTGCTATAAACTAACCTTACCTGTCCTTACATAATAGTAAACTTGATTAGCGCGAAAAGTTAATTATATGCCTTCGTCCGTTCGTAACGGAAAACGAGAATTAAAGCTAAGCAATCAAGTTTTCCAATGTGAAGAATAAATATTTCAATTTCAATTGAATTTGAATGCAATTTCATTCATGGACTTCCAAGCCAGTTTTAATTCAATTCCAATTCAATATTAACTCTACATCCGTTCACCAATCCATTTTTGCACTCAAATCAGTAAATCATATGTTTTTGCTTTGCTAACTCGAAGAAGATGAAGATGAAGAAGAAGAATTCAGTTCCCATATAATTTTAGGTAAATTAATGCATTGACTAACTTAAAGATAAAGCTATATATGAGAAAATCACATACGTGTCATTTCATTCTGCCGCTTCTTCGATACACTCTCTCTGATCCGTGCTTTTGTCTTTTGAAATCAATATCACTTCGCTTAAAGGAATCTGCAGTAATCTGGGGAGTGTGGGGCGTGCGCTCACAATTTTTAACTAAACGAACCTCGCTTTTGACGTTTTCAGCATAGTATGCAATAAACTTTTTATTAGTAATTAAGGGCTTCTTCTCTTTTTCTCTTCTTTTTTCTTGCGAAACCTCTATCCACCACGCTTGCTATCAGCAGAAGACTTTGATTTTAATTTCATTTAGTTAGTTTTTGCCGCAGGCATTCTCCAAACGATTTAATATATTGAAGAATAGAACCTTAAGCGCTTAGCAGAATAAGTGCTAGCTTTCCACTAACGGTCGTGAAGAAGGCGAGTAAACTATAATTCTATCTCGTTATTTTTTTTTTTTTTTTACAATTACAACATTTATTAGGCTGCCTAAGAGTTTTGTTACGCGGCTTACAATAAAGCCTTCATTGAACGCAAAGTCAACTCCTAAAGGCACTTTCCGAAAAGCTTTAAGCAGCGTTTAAGCCCCTTATCGCAATAAAACATTTACACAAAAAGTTTAGTTGAGTTTTGAGGAAAGTGGGAAAGTGCTCATTACATTGCGATTGACGGTGCGCTGACATTAGCGATACCCGGTTCTTACAGTGTTTAGCTAGAAAGTAATTACTTTTTCTGAAGGAATCTAATTTCTTCCGTGTATTAGATGGCTATGTGTTCCATCGTAGTAATATCAAAATCCATTCAAATAATGTGACGAACTAAAATTAAATGCTCAGTCTCGATCTTCAACAATTTCTAGGTATGTTTATGATGAATTGCGATTGAACGAAATCCTTCATCACCTGCCCAAAATAAGTATAAATAATGATTTTTCATAATTTTCTATTTTATTAATGTTTCCTTCTTTGCAAAACATTAGTACCAGGTCTGGTTTTAGAACTTGAATGGATAACGAACTGAATGTTTTGCTTACCAAAATTGATTAACACCTTGCAACCAAAAGAAGGGAAAAACGAGTCAAATCACTATAGCGAGTCAGGATCACCATTCATCATGATACCCTACCCCACCCTAAAGCTTTTCATATAACTTTTTCTTTTCGAAATAAGGCGTGGTCGAAAAGGTGATTTAATCAGAATCATTGTTAAGAGCGTTCGTCCTTGAGTCAAAACACACCAGTGTACCAAATTTTATCAAAATATTTCAAAAATTGCGGACTACAGGAAACAGCCCGGCTTAGACAGTTTCTAAAAGTGATTCTGAACTGATCTTTTTAATAAAAGGTGCATCCATCTCAAGGTCTTTCGGATGTTGCATACATCCATACAAATATAGCGTACCCTTGTATTATAGGGACAAAGGGCAAAAGCAAGCCCTTCTATAGGGGCAAAGTACAGGGCTCTTACAAAACGCAAGACTATGTGTGGCGACAAAGTCTAATGTGTACTTTTTTTATGACGCAACCAATTGGAAAAATGGGAAAAATTTCGAACGCGTTAATTGACGTTTTGGGTGTCCTCCTATATAAGGTTTTTAATGGAAAGTGTTCCTTTACATACATACAACAATATATTATATATATGATTATTGGTGCATTATTACGAAGACGGCGAGGCGGTTTGGATTTCTAGTGGTATGCAGTTAGGAGTTCAATGAATGCTTTGACATTAAAAATTAAGAGCAAATTCGAAAAGTGCAGTTGTTCGGCTTGGCAATTCGAGGCATTCAAGTTCTTTCAGCCATAATTTAAAACTTGAAATCTCTAGCAATATTTTGTGATGAGAAGCGAAAAAAACACGCTTTCATAACTTTTCGGAGTCCCTTGATTTTCCAAGTTGACACGAGTAATGAAATTCGAAAAAATTTCAACAGCAATATACAAGGGTCACCCCGAAAAATAGGGTGGCTTTCTACTTTTCGCGAAACACATTTATTTATTCATCAAAACCTATTTAGGGCTCCTCAAAGTAATCTTCCGCAGGCATCACATATGCTTGCATTACCGCTTTTTACAATCTTCGAAGGATTTTTGATATGCGCTTTCTATTATCGCCTTGGGCTTCTCGAAATTCCATCCTTCCGTTGGTCTTTTCGGCGTTAGGTGAACACGGTCAGTGAGACACGATTACGGCGTTGTTCTTAACCAAAAAACCAGCGACGTGTAAGCTGGCGCGTATAAGAGAATTCTGTTCTGAACGGTGGCTTCGACAGCCACAGAGTATTGGAGTTGGAGTATTTAGTCTTCTTCGAGAAACCATTATACTGGCTTCCTTGAACCCTTTTCATCATTTGCAATGCAATTCGTTTAAGATTTTCTCGTCATTTTCAAATATTTCCTCCACATTACGGTATTTTTTTCAGAAATGCAAAACTAGAAGTGCATTATTTAGGCGCTCCAATCTCCTAAGCAAACAAGCAAGCTTGAAGCAATTCACAAAAGGCTCTAGCTTTTCGGATTTTATTAAGTGAAAATTCTATCCAACTTAAAACTACGTACTTTAAAGAACACTAACATTTTTTTTTGGATCAATTCCCGTCAATTTTTTGACAGCATCTATGCTATATTGAAATGTGTTCATTTTAATAATTGATCGCACATCGTCTTCCTTTCATTTTGTAACACAAGGTTTCAATAACCGAAGCAAGGTGTCCGTATCTGTTAATGTCTTCAACAGGATATGAAATTCTTACATTTGGTACTAGTAGCTATCTCAGCGGCTGTAAATATGTTTAGCGGACTACTCCACTAATTATGAATATATATTGTTTTTGTATTTAATAAGCTTTAATGAAGAAATTTCAGATCATTTATCAAAGAAATTGACTGAAAACAAAAACACATCTGATTATAATAAATTATTTAAGAAAAAATGCTTCTGCGTGTGTGTGTGTGCGTGCAAATGAAAGGAAACACATACATAAAAAATTTTATTTTCAATTAAATTTAATTTAAAAAAAATATAAATCTTTTATTGCATTTTAATGTAAATATCAACAACACCTAAGCGCTTATATATAAGTCTGGGTATGAGCGCATATATATGTGTATGTGTATCTGTCTATGCACAAACTCTTCGACAAGTACCACCAACTATATTCAGGAAAGCAAGTGATAAAAGCACTGAATGTGTACAGGTATACGTGCGTATCGCGCATATGCATACACACATACACGCACCTATGTATACCAGCAGAAAATCAATACACTACTAAAGCTATCAGAAGCGTCGATATTAACGTTACGTTAATTAAAAAAAATTTAACATAGCATAGGATTGGAATTCGAATGCTGCGTCGAATAAAAAGTTAATGATCATGATGATAATTATGATGATTATGATTACGAGATGATGTCGCCAAATGCGCGATAATGCTTATAAACGTCCAATTTTTTTCGGTTCCAGAGCGAATAACGAAGGCTTTTTGTAGCGAGCTAATATCTCTCTTTTGAATGCTTCGAAACGTTTACGGTTCATTGTGTTCTGCTGTTCGCGCCACGATGGGCGAGCATTCTTCTTTTGCAATCCCCAATGGCAGGTGAAAATGGGCGTCAGTACATAAAAGGAATAGCCAGCGACGTACATTTCGTAAACCTAAAATAGAAATGAATCAAAGATTTTTGCACGAAATAGGTGAAATATATACACACACATGCACGTACACGTACATATCTGCACGAGCATACGGACACATAAAAAGCATATCAACCAACCTGAGAATTTCGTGTGAAACCGTAACCCAAGAAGCGTTCATCATGCGGGGGAACAGTATCTATCGCTACATAAAAAGGTTCATAGAGGAATTCATAATTTGTCACCTTGTGACTAATCGCGATCTGTTGTTGATCTGTTTCGGTATTAGCCAGCCAGCTGTAAGCGGTAATAATAATAACAGCATAACATATTTAGAAAAACAAAACATTTATACATAAGTATGCACATGTATTGTACATGATATAAATAAATACATATATAGAAGAATATATGTATATATATATGAATATATACATGTATATATATACATATATATATATATATTCATATATATATACGTACTTATTTAATATTAAAAAATATTTTAGTCATCACTGATATTTATAGATTAGAAATAAATTCAAAAAAGTATACACGCATACATATACAATATTTGTGCAGGCACATATTAAATCATGAGATATTTTCAATTTATTATAATGCTTGTAACACAAACTGTTAAATGAATAGAAGGAAATGAAACAGAATAAATTCTAAGACTAAGTCTAAAAGCACTAGCATGTAAGGCTTCCGGCTTTATTAAAAACTCTACCGCGCTTGAGATTTGAACCCACGACCACGGAGTTGCTAGTCGAGACTCGTGCCTAGTCGGCCTCTCGGGCGGATGTGACACAAACTAACACACAGTCGTTCGCACGAAGGAACCTCTCGATTTTCTCCATTTTTCCTCTCGTACACCAACAAAAAAAGATAGGAACGGACAATACCAGCATTTCTTTCCTGCAAAGGCTTTTTTTGGGGTGATTTCGTAACATTTTCTTCAATTTACTTTGCTTTACTCTTTCAACTTATCAAAATCTGTCCTGTCATTTTTCAATATTATTTCAACGTTCACCTAGTCATCGGTATACTAACTAAACACTCGTATTAGGCAAGTGAAGATTTCGGCTTCTATTTTCATAAGCTATGCAAATTGAATGCAGGAAAGTAATTTCAGGATTGTGTTCATAGACATGAAGGCCCTAAATTTAACGATTAAAGGATATTTCCACAATTATTTTAATGATATTTTTCGCAAACATTGCAATAGGTTCGCTTACTCAAATCGAATCGTCATTACGAAGAGAAATTTCAATTAATGTAAATATTTTATAATATTATTGTGCTGAGTCTGAATGCAATAGTATTATTGGCGACGCGAATGCACCGAAGGTCGTTCCCAAGGACGGCGCTTCTTCCCCACGATCCCAAACGTTCAACCACTATTCGGAACGTAACTTCAGCACATTAGTGTGATATCGCATAAAAAAAGATTTCGAGCTCCCGGCACTCGCAATACAACTTCAATACGGTGACTTTGAATCATATCAAGGAAGCTGACGATTACAATGCAAAATAAAGTAGACTTTCGGCTCAATGGCTTTTGGTAAGTCAATCTTACTTCTTTCGTCGGAATGCAAATATAGCCAGAAAAATTATTGCTTTCTTGGCATCACTGATGTATATTTTTTTTTATAACAAGTTTTAGGTAAAAAATATACATGTGATGTCAGTTGATGCAATCCATACTTGTTGTGTTTTTTGAGAAGAATTTATGGTATTCCCGCAAGACGTCGCAATGTGCAAAATAAAATGTAGAGATCGTAATAGGAATCAAATATTTTGTTGATGGTTGATGGATTGTTTATAAGGTATTTGTTCTTGTTTGTATCCATTCATTAGGAGGGGAGTTGAGACTCTAAAAATTAGGCCAAGATGGAATGGATCTATATGTGTGTATATTTTTGCAATTATTGCAATAAGTTGAACATTTTTCATCGGCATTGTCAGAGGGTCTCTTACAACGACACTGCCATAAAAATTAAATATTTCTTCTTCTTTGAAAGCCCGAAGTGATTGCATAAGCAAAATGTTGTTAAAATAATGAAGCGTTTACTTTATCGAAAGACTGACAAGCGAATGGTGTTAAAGTGCAGGGTATGGGAAATTTTTTGTAAACTACACAAATGATTGACTTGATGTATGTGTTTATTTGGCTTTTAGAATAAATATTTGTTCACACCTTGAGAAATTTGTAGCATATTGATTGTATATGAACACCTTCTCGTGAAACGGTCTCGCCAACCCTTTACGCGCTAGTCGCATCAATTCCGTTTTGCTGCTTGGAAATCGAACGCGTTCGTCTATTTCGAATGTGGGTATGACGTAGGCGCATAAATTTGATGAACATCTGACGGTTGCTAAAAATTCATTGAGCAGCGGCGCAATATTTGCGCTGGGTATGATATCGACGTCCGTGAGAAATACATATTTGGTTTGGCAACCTTTACGTGCGAGGTTGCGCATATGATTCTGAGGATAAACATTTCGCAAACGCCAACGTTTCGTCTCCGTCGAACGCAATGTTAACAGACTGCGTAAAGTTTTTTCCGGATATTGACAATCGAACATTTGCAATAATTTATACGTTTCCCGTGATTCACGTTCGGGTTGACGTTCATACGGGAAGGCCAAATGAAATGTAACATTAGAACGTATGAAATCAAAACACAACCGCAAATAAGTAACATAGTATTGCAATATGGAAAATTCATCACTGCCCGCCACAAATACCGCCACCGACATCGGACCCTGCCATTGCTTAGATGCTTCAGCTAAAGAATACACGCGCTCTACCGACGATTGCGTAGCTAAACAAACTAAACTTTTTGCTGACGCTTGTTCGTATTGTTCACCTATTAAGGCGAAATCGATGATTTTATAGATGCGTTGATTATCCCATCTGCCCGTGTTTAGGGAAATATTTTTAAATTCCAACAGTGATGAGTCCACATAGTTAGCTTCTTCTATATATTTTTTTAAAGATGAAGCCAGCTGCTTGGATATACGCTACGGTCCCTTAATAGTAACGATTCGATGATTTTTCAAAGCCGCTTGTAAAGAATTATTACTTGACTGGACTTGGTGTTGCTGCTGATATTCATGATTATTGTGGTGATGATGTGGATGGTGATGCTGATGTTCACATTGACTTAGAAAATATAAACGCAGACTCCATAAAACGTTTATCATTAACAAAATTATTGAGGACATCTTTACCGTAGAATATTTTGATATCTATAAGAAAATGGAAAAATGCGTCAATACTAAAAAATTTTTCGGAATGCGAAAAACAAGAAAAAACTTAATTTTTTATTTGGCCGATCTTAAAAGATCGTACATATCCACACTCGAATACAATTACATCGTAGTGTTGAAAGGTTTCATGCACAAATCGCTTTGAAGGAACAACTTTCAATGTCGGTGTTGAGTTGTTATGAAGCATATCGAGGGCTATAGCAAGGTTATGTCAAATCCAACTAATTATGTTTATGGCAATACCCTTACGCATTAGAGTGAGAGAAATCGAAGGGCCATCGCTGTTAAAGCGATTTACGCATATCTATGTGTGTTGAACAACCAACAAAATTTGGATTTTTTTTCTTTAAATTTAAGTAAACAAAATAAAAACCTAATTAGATATATTTTTCTTTAATTCTTCATCATATTGAAGGATACCCGAAAGGGCAACAAACGCTAAATTGAATGGGCAAACTAAAATTTCTTTCACAATCACGATTCCATTCTGTCCAACTTCAGGGTAATAATAAAATTTATATAAAAACAATTGACTTAGGTGGACCGCACAATTGAACTGCTCCCTTTCTAATGATTGATAATAACGCTACAGGTGTTTTGCGACAAACATCGGAACGATCATAAAACGTTTCGTTGTTTGGTTTTTACGAAACGCCGTTCGTTTCACTATATCCCTACGACCGTCTAGTTCAAAAGTTGAAAGCAATTTTATGGTTGCTGATGATATCCACCAAAAATTATATTGTCTTATCACAACAGATACTCGATATCGACAAGTTGTCGCACGTGTTTTGCAAGTCAACGAAATTTATACAAACTTCTTGAGAAATTCCTCCAGTCAATGAACAGAACTTCCAACAAGCGTTTTACGAGTCCTAGCAATTCTCGGGCTCGAGAGTTGCCTGCAGTACGTTAAAAAATTTTCGACACTTTCAGCCGGAGTAACGATTTTTGCAATTTTTTCTACAGTTTAAAAACGAAATGGTGGCAAGGAATGAGTTTTCCAACTTTTAAATTGAACTTAAGGCGACAATCATATCAATAAAACTCTTATGTATATTACTACTACAATTTCTTCCAATTTATTGCAAATGATTTTTGGTAAGTTATTATCTCAGATATTTTTTATTGTATTTTGCACGTTTTTCTTTTATGCCTTTGTGGGTTCCATTTGAAAATTGAATTAAAAAGAATAGCGATGACAAGAAAAAAAAAGAAAACATTGTTTTTGAAATTAAATTTAAAATGGAACTCAATACTAAATGCATAATGCTAGAAAACAGTGTTATCGAGTATCGCGACAATTTCATCACTATAACACAGATCAGGTGAAGCTTTGATAACAGCCACAATTTCTTCGTAGGTTAAAATCTCTTCGTTGCCAATTGTGCGATTGATGGGAATCGAATTCGTTACGATGCAGGACGGTAGGCTTGCATTCACTCTGTGATTATTGACGTAGTCGTCAATATTGATTGGAAATCTCCCCGAATTTTCGGCGTCATTTTGTGCGTTCGGTGTATAATTTAGCGGACGGGGGGTGATATTTCCGACATTAGTCCTTATGGATAATAAAGGTACCGGCATTGTAACAGTCGAAGATGAATTATATGGCGATTGAAGCTGATTTAAGACATTCTGGTGCGGAGAAATTCCAGTATATAAAATTTGTTGAATGACTTAGGATTTAAAGCATTCCCCCACTCCGGGAAATGTTGAGAAATGTTGATATAAAGTGATTCTGCTCTTGGGTAGCAATTTGTTCGCCTGTCTTTGCTTGCTTGCGGAATGCTCTCGTCTCTATTACAAGCTTTATCTGTTTTTTTTTACATTTCTACGACACTCTCGTTGCTGAGAAAACCAAGCTTGCACTGTTTGCACCGATATATTTAAACGTTCCGATATTAATATACTTCTCTCTGCTCGCAGATATGAACTTTTTTCGAATTCGCGATCAAGTTCTTTTAGTTGAATTTCCGTCAGAGTATTAATAACTGCTGCACGTTTACGTTTATTTGATGTCTGTAAAAAATTATTTATTTGATAATAAATTTTTCTCGCTATAATTGATTGTCATTTGAATGATTTCGAATACTTACCATATCGTTAGGATAAGTGACACGAGTTCAGTTTTCTACTCAAATTAGTGAAGATACTGCCTTTTATACTTTAATGTCGTTAGTTATATACACACTGTTTAACTTGAGGTAAAAAAAGTTTACAATGTTACGCTCAATTACGATCATCATTATCCTTCGCATCGGGATTTAACAAAATCTTTACCTGTTGGCTTATCGACAAGTATCCTTGGTACACCGTAAATAATAAAATTGTTTGCACCTTAAGCAAGTTAAATACATATAAACATGTATTGAAATTTTCGCTACGAATCGCGCTGCTTAGACAAAGTGTGAATTTCTTGCTCAACAGTTCTCCATTTAAATTTTTGAAACTCTTCAAGTAATAAAGTTGTAAGAGCGAGAGAGAAAATAGTTACAGCCTGAATGCCTTTCAACTTATAAAAGGCACTCATTCCATGTGCTCGAAATATTGCTTCCAAATATTATTTCCAAATGTGCTGATGTTGCGAACAATTTTGTTTAGGGTGTCTTTGCAAATGTGTAAAGAAAGCTGATCAATCGATGTTTGTCGTCGAAATTTGAGTATTTGCTTTCCTGCTTCTTAAAAACACACTTCTGTTAACTATCAGAGTGAAACTTCAAAGGTACAAAAGCCAGTGAGAACTTTCGGTCATTGTAAAATTTGAAATTGTTGAAAGAGAGAGAGAGAGAGAGAGAGAGAGAGCTAGCGTCAATGTAATAATCGTGGCAATTGCTACAAAGCCTAAAAGTGGTCTTAAACAGTTTTCTTAATGCATAATAGGAGTCAACATTTTTGTGATCTTACGGCCGCTCTCAACAACTTAAGTAGCAATGATCTGCACTTTTCTAATACCAATTGTGTCTGATAGCATTACTGTAGTGCAACGGTAACTCATTATTGCTTTAAGAGAAGAGCGAACCGAAAATCTATATCGCAAAGCTTTGGCCCTGGTTTCAATTTTTGTGCTTGGAATAAAATCTCTTAGATCATCTCATAAAAGAACTGGGCTTGCATGATTTCAAGATGAAACCTTTTTTTCGATTCAACATATATCCTTTTCGAGTTTGTACAATACTCTGCCATTTTTCCTTTTTTGATAGGGTTTCAAAATATTTTGATTCCTTATTTTGCCCCTTTTTAAAAGGATTTTAAAATTGTTCCTTGGTTGCCTATGTCGTGCGGGTTTCTCTACTTTTCCGTATACTTACTACATTTGTGCTGAAATTTTCCGGTGCAAATCATATCGAAAATTGGGAGATAAATATTAACAACGAGAGCGAAATGTCCGGTGAATACAAATGGCTTCAGCTAAATGCTTCAGGCCCTAAAAATGCAACAACACAGCAAACTTAAGTGTTTCTACCTCAGCAATATCAATGCAATGCAATGCAGAGTAGATAGGTCAAGTGGTGCACACAAGGTATCATTTACCATTTCTCGATTTCTATTATCAGTACTTCCGTTTTCTGATGCCAAGTTTGCTGAAGTACGAAGGACAGGAAGAATGGAGTGTTTTTCTATTTCTTTTCTTTTTTCATTAAAGACCCAATGCATGCTATGAGTAATTTTATGAAATCGAAAGAAGTTTTAAGAAAACGCTCATGATTACTTTTAATGTGTCTTACATACACCACAAAATCATTAAATCCTCAACTATCTCTTACAAAAAGGTTGTATAGCAAATTAGCTAATAATCTCGCAACGCGATACCTATAGTTTTGAGACAATTGACGAATTCTTATGGTTTCTCGATAATGCTAACCTTCAAGAGAAATATATCTATATATATATAACCTTGGGCGTTTTGCATTTTACGCCACTTGTTGTGCAGAGTATATTGTGTGCGGACGATAATGACATACGTAAGTACTTGAGATAGCCCCAACCTTTTATATTATACCAGCCTTTTCAGAATCATTTTCTGAATCGATCTAAACTTGTCTGTCCGTCGGATGTATGTTCACGTAATCTTATATTCAGCCTAAAGACAGCAATTTTCGAGATATTTTTCTAATGTCTTCCAGCCCAAGAACGAACGCTATTGAAAATATATCGGATCGTACCCCTTTTTCCACCGCACCCCTTAGGACGCGTTATTTCGATAAGTTGTTACAAGAAAAAGTGTTTTTTGAACCTCTTACCACATTTACCGTTCCTATGGTAACTAGACCTAAGATTTAATTTTTAATATTTTTTATTGGATCACATAGATCTATTTTGTAGAACGTGCCACGAAAGTTCTCATCAAAAGCAAATTTGGACCTTAACTGATGTTTTGAAAGATTACAAATCTGCAAAAAATAATGCACAGCTTTTCATATATGACCAAATAAGCGAAGTGGTGTATGGTACTTTGTTTTCTGATAAAACCTTTTAGCTACGACCGTAGAACTTCTCGCAAGCCCGCAAGGAAACTCAAAGCAACTATGATATACATAGATTTCTTGTCTAGCCAAGTTAACATCACATTAAGAAGTGGAAGTTCCTAAATTCTTCAGAAATCAAATTTTTTTATTAGTAACTTGGATGCTGCGCAATGGTTGGAATAAGTGGAAAAAATTTATTTTTTCAAAGAAATGTTTTCTTTAATTTGTAGCATTTCCATCAGCACTCCGAGAAGAGTACCTATTCCGGGACAGCCTCTTTCGGAAATTACTGCTTAATTTTTTTAATCTGCTAATAGATATCTTTCGAAAGTATTTATGTTTTTCATAAGATATATTCGAACCGAAAATATCTTAATGTAACTTCATCGAGGCGATTGTTAAGTAGACACTCTAGACTCTAAATGCGTTTAGAAAGCGAGAATTTAAAAAAAAGATTTTCAAATTATTTACGAATTCATATACAGAGTCTCCTCTAACCTAATTATTTCTACATTTTTTTTTTTTTTTTTTGCACTCTGTAACACATTTGAGTTACTCCCTTTCATACTTTTGTCATTCTTACTATCTATATCGAAAAAGAATTCATCATTTTTTCGGTGCAACAATTCTACTTTATTATCAGTTAAGCGTAAGTCTTTCTTCACCAGCTCTTCCTCTCTCGAATACTAGGATGTTTATGTAAAAAAAGAATTGTGTTCACTAAATCTGAGCGGGCGATGATTATAGCCCTTTTTTCTTATCTTCAATACAATTTTTTCTCAACACTGTTAAATTGTCGAGCTCAAAATGATAGCAAAATGAACCCAAGCACCTTTAAAGTAACTATAAAAACTTTCTTTAACCTATAATTACGTATATATCTGCGCTTAGCTCCTATACCGTGCAATGTAGTTACGGTGTCCATGTCTGACTGAACTGGATTCACATTGTGCCGTAAAATATTTACAGCCTTACTGGTAGATCAATATGATTATTGTTGTATAATGATTATGTATATATGTAAATACTTTTTTTTTTAATTTGTTTTAGGTGAATGGATTAACAATAGAATCTATATACCCAGTAACGTGATTAATTAATGAAATAATCTGTTTTTTTGGATTTATAGTTGATAGCATGAGTTAGGATAATCTTTAGCAAAAATTGGTTATGCAGTAATTGTTAATTATTAATGATTAATCTTAAATTTGAACTATAAACATTTTTTAATAATTTTTTTTTGGGGGGTGAAAGGGCAGGTAATGAAATAATATCTGAGATGTCTATTAAGCTTACTTTAAGTACTAGAAAAAAAATTTATTGTAATAAATTTAATTAAAAGAAAATAATAACAAATCATTTAATCCGCATATCTGTAGTTACAGGACTACATATGATTTTTTAGAAATCTTGCACTTGTGCGAAAGCACTTTAGATGGACCTATCTTTTTTTATATAGGCGGACTCAGGATCATTTTTTGAATCCAGCTTAGTTCGCCTCTCTCTATCTCTCTATCCTTCTTGATTTCTTGTGTTCAACCTATACATTGCACTCTTTGATATGTTCTGATCAGATTTGGTGCAACCGCCACCGAGTGAACAAAATTTAGTTGATTGTTCTAGCCAATACGGCAATAATGGTAAGTTTCTTTTTAAAGATATTTTTTAAATTTTTTCAAATTCCGCTACATTAAGGACAATGGTGTTGACACTGGGAAATCTAATCCGTGTGAGGGAATAGATGATTCTTGTCATTTTGTGCGGGCTGCTGTCGGAGCTACCGGTACTGGTTACTTTGATATACCCGATGGTGGTGAAGATAAAATGAAAAAAGCCGAAGCTACTACGGTCCCTATTAGCTGTTCACGGATGTGTCACCTTATAAAAAATTCCTACAAAATCGAAAGCTAAGATGAATGAATCTGCCACAATATGCACAGATATGTTAAAGAAATTGCAATCGGCTTCATCAAAATATATAAGCATTTAAGTTTTAAAACTATAAAAAAAAACATGACCTTAGTTACCTGTCTATTACTTTCCCTTCATTAGGGTTTACTATGTTTACTTGCTGCGTACACTTCAATTGGACTGAGTGGCAGACGTACTTCAATGTTATTATTGTGCTTCTGTTTTTTCATGCAGCTATCGCCCTTACTTGTTATATAGCTTGAGAATCTAGTTTTTTTTTCTTCCATTTCAACATAAATTCTTGCTTCAAATTCTTTTTTTGCTTGTCCTTGCAAGCAATTACAATATCGTCAACAATTACAGCTCTTTTACTTGATTTTAATAATTGCGTTTATTCAATTAAAAGATCAATAGCTGATTATGGTATTGCGCAACCAATTGATTGACTTTGTAAATTGAAAACAAACCGAGTCGCAACCAAATGGTTGTTTATAAATTGAAAATAAGCCG